CAGAAAAAAAAAAGAGATGAGAAGAAAAGAGCTGACAGTAAATCAGTCTCTATGAACGCTAGCAAGATGTCCCACAATATGAGAGTTCTTTTAATTCTAAAAGGTGTCCATCCTCAGGCGTAGGAGTTACCTTTTGAGGCTGGTAGCACCAGAGTTTCATTTATGTCTTTAACTGGCAAGTATCCTGGTGTAGGGTCCACGAGATATGACAAAAAAGAATGACTGTCCATAAGTCAGTGATGTATCCTTTTTCAACTGAAATGTCACATCTGTTTTCAATTGAAATGTCACTCACATACCATAAAATTCAACATTTAAAAGGGTGCTGCTCTGTGGTTTTTATTAGTTCTGCAATATCACCACTATCTAATTTGAGAACAATTTCATAGGTGATCAATTATAAGGGAAAGTGGTGCTGCAATTTACTACATCTGAAGAAAATATATCTAGTTTTTATCTAGTTTTAGTATGAAAATACAGTAGTATTTGTGGCACAAATCGGAACACATATATATCAAGCCTTTTATGAGAATTTTTTTAAAGAATAGTGCCAGGTTTGGCCAGGCACAGTGGCTCACGCCTGTAATCCCAGCACTTTGGGAGGCCAAGGTGAGTGGATCATGAAGACAGGTCAGGAGTTCGAGACCAGTCTGGCCAACATAGTAAAACCCCATCTCTACTAATAATACAAAAAATTAGCCAGGTGTGATGGTGTGCACCTGTAATCCCAGCTACTCGGGAGGATGAGGCAGTAGAATCGTGAGAAACCAGGAGGCGGAGGCTGCAGTGAACCGAGATCACACCACTGCATTCTAGCCCAGGCGACAGCATGAGACTCCGTTTCAGAAACAAAAAAAAAGCATAGTGCCAAGGTAGCTGTTGATGAACGTCAATTTCATGTACATGCCAGATCTATTTTTAGATATATTTTTAGAGTACTTCCCAATCTTGCTTAAAAGATCTATTTTTAGAGTACTTCCCAATCTTACTTTTTAAAAGACTCCTCAATAACTATAGCTTTGAATACTTGTGCATTCCCAACATCGTGATAAAAATTCACTTTTATGCCGGGCGCGGTGGCTCAAGCCTGTAATCCCAGCACTTTGGGAGGCCGAGACGGGCGGATCACGAGGTCAGGAGATCGAGACCATCCTGGCTAACACAGTGAAACTCCGTCTCTACTAAAAAATATAAAAACCTAGCCGGTCTAGGTGGCAGGCGCCTCTAGTCCCAGCTACTCGGGAGGCTGAGGCAGGAGAATGGCGTAAACCCAGGAGGCGGAGCTTGCAGTGAGCTGAGATCCAGCCTGGGCGACAGAGCGAGACTCCGTCTCAAAAAAAAAAAAAACAAATTCACTTTTATTACACCACTTTTCACAAAACAAAACCAGTGCCTTCAAATGAGTAATATTAAAAGAGGGTGGGGTGCAGTGGTTCACACGTGTCATCTCAGCACTTTGCGTGGCCAAGGCAGGAAGATCTCTTGAGCCCAGGCGGGTGGAACCACCTGAGGTCAAGAGGTCAAGACCAGCCTGGCCAACGTGGAGCAACAGTCTCCACTGAAAAGACAAAAATCAGTTGAAAATACAAAAATTAGTTGTGTGTAGAGGTGCACACCTGTAATCCCAGCTACCTGGGAGACTGAAGCAGGAGAATCACTTGAACCCAGGAGGAGGCAGAGGTTGCAGTAAGCCGAGATCAACCCACTGCACTCCAGCCTAAGTGCCAGAGTACGGCTCCGTCTCAAAAAAAAAAAGAAAGAAAACCTCCTGGACACTGATTTTTTACTCCCATCTGAGTAGGAAGACCCAGAGCTTTCAAACACCTCTGAGCCAATTTCCCACCTTCTTTTATTAAACAATTCAACATAGTCAATGCAGTATCACTATGTTACCATTTAGAATAAACCTCTAAACCTTATGAAGATGAATCTTCAGAATGACTTCTGAGAAGATATTAATACCATTTTTCTAAGTTGTTATTCCACCAGGTTATACCCAACCTATTTCTCAGGTCCAAACTGACCTAATGTTTTCCAAACCAGCAAATAACTCCTGTATCTGCCCCTCTCCCCACTAACCAAACACTCCTCCCTCCTTTCACCTTCATTAACATCTATCCTATAAGACATGGACTCAATTCTCCAACCTAACTTGAGTAAGTTCCCTTCATGTGGACACCTCCTAAAATTCATTTTCCCAACAAAGATCTCAGTACTATAAAAGTCAGCTCTTTGCCAGCTATTACCTAGTTGCTCCACTAGTTACCAGTTATCATTATCTACTAGCTGACATTAGAACAAAAGTTAGACGTTAAAAGCTGACATTAGAACAAAATAAGACATTACTTTTCATTGACACTCAATAGAACTCAATAGAGCAAAAGAAGACATTACTTTTCACTGACACACAATATGCAGCAATATATCAGACAGTAACTACTAGCATCAGCTGGGGCAAAAATAATTGCAGTTTTGCTTTTTACCGTTCAAAGAAATGTCAAAACCGGAATTACGTTTGCTCCAACCTAATATATTTTTGTCTATTGAAAAACTGAAGAGGTCACCAATTTAAGACCCAATGGCATTGGTAAGAAATGTGAAGACATTTCTGCAAACATGTGATTTCTTTAGATTCCCTGCAGTATGTATCTCATTTTCTCAACTAATGTTTTCCAAAGTCCCCACTCAAATTTTCAAAAACATTCTTATTCACAATGTGCCTTGCCAAGAAAAGACTTCTTAACGTGAACTATTTAATGAGAAGACTGCCACCGTATACTGCTAAAACTTGATACACTCATAATTTAAAACATCAACTGAGAGTCCATGACATCCCTGAAATTATACCCACAAAGTGTGAGTTTATTAAATTGGTCTGAATTGAGCTATGACAAAGAAATAGGATAATAATACACAGAAATACAACCACTTCCGTACTCTTTGCAACAATGATTCTCAACTCTGGACAAAAGAATGCACAGAAAGCACTGAAAAATATTCCAGTACTTAAGAAAGTCTGCAAAAGACCAGTTATTTAAGAATCCCTACAGGAGAAGTTGGCATGAGTATGTTTTAAATGTGGTCAAGCAATTACCATGTGCAGGAAGGATAAAGGGCAGATGCTTTAGACAAACTCACTGAGTTTCGGTGCCTTCAAGACACCTGACCAATAACCCATTTATGCCTAGTGTTCCATTACTGGAATGCTAAGCTTGTTGGAGTTATTTATACCCTACTGCGTTAGGTCTGCATTATCAAGGTCTGATTGCAAAAATTCAAAAAACTGCAATCTCAGGAATAAATGGGTTTAGTTCATTAGTAAAGAAAAGTCCTGATTTATTTTCAACTGGAAGTTCTGCATTGATTCTTATTTTATTTTTTGAGACCGAGTCTCACTCTGTCACCTAGGCTGGAGTGCAGTGGCGCGATCTCAGCTCACTGAAAGCTCCATCTCCCGGGATCAAGCGATTCTCCTGCATCATCCTCCCGAGTAGCTGGGACTACAGGTGCACGCTACCACGCCCAGCTAATTTTTTATTTTTTAGTAGAGACAGGGTTCCACCATATTGGCCAGGCTGGTCTTGAACTCCTGACGCCGTGATCCACCCGCCTTGGCCTCGCAAAGTGCTGGGATTACAGGTGTGAGCCACCGTGCCCGGCCAATTTTTAAGAATTTCAAAAATTTCAACAAAAATAAAAATGAAGAATTACAAAACTCCTTAGTTTTCAAAATGTTCACACATAACTGTAAAAATCTGAGGAAATGGCCAGGCACAGTGGCTCACACTTGTAATCCCAGCACTTTGGGAGGCCACGGTGAGTTAATCACCTGAGTTCAGTAGATCGAGACCAGCCTGGTCAACATGGTAAAATCCAGTCTCTACTAAAAATACAAAAATTAGCTGGGAGTGGTGGTGCATGCCTGTAATCCCAGCTACTTGGGAGGCTGAGGCAGGAGAAGAGCTTGAACCGAGGAGGCGGACGTTGCAGTGAGCCAAAATCACGCCACTTCACTCCAGCCTGGGTGACAAGAGCAAGAGTCCATCCTAAAAAACAACAACAACAACAACAAAAAAAACAACAATCTGAGGAAACCGCTAATGTCAAATAAAAAAAAGAAAACATTTTGATGATGCATTAAGTATGCTCAACCGCACCATCTTAACAGGGCATTCAAGGCCCTTTACAATCTGGATTTAAATTCTTTTTCAGGCCTTACTCTTCTGGCCTTTTAATGACTACCTGCCACATTCTATGACGTTATTTCTCAAACAGAAATTGTATACTTTCATGTCTGACATTTTCAGTGTATACTCTATGGTATTTAACAGCTGACTTGATTCCTTTACACAACTCCCATGCATGACTGATTAACTCAGTTCAAACGTTAAGCATTTGTCAATCAGTAATTTTTACTCCAAAATCAGAGACAGAATTGTTATATACAGCAATAACATTAAAATACTAATGATTGGAACACTGGTATTCTAAGACAAATAGTAGTACTATGCTTCATATAAAGTAATGCGCTTTATATATTGCATTTTTAAAGTGTATTGCATATAATAGTTTGCTCCATATACTTACACATACTGCATGAGTTTAAACACAACAAGCCAAATAAGTCTAACATTTACTTCATGTTAACAGACTGATATCAGATTGTCAATGTGGTAACACTCTTAAGTACATCATTCTATTTCCTGTTTAGTATTTGCTATCATCAGTTCTAAATCTATTACCCAAAGCCACCCATAACCCAGTTCCTAGTCACCACACTCAGCGAATTCTTTTGTATTTTTAGTAGAAACAGGCATTATGAAATAATGCATTAAAATCATTATCACCCTACCTAATAATCTACTTAAGGTTATTTTTTTCTTTTGGAGGAAAGGGAGTATGTTTGGAAACATCTTTGATGTTCATCACCACAAACTAGAAAAACAAAATGGTTCTCATTAATAGCTGTTTAGCAGAAAGACAAAACACTTTTAACATACCTATCATAATAGTCCCGTTGAAAGTCATAGTCCAAGTCAAAAGAGGAGCTGAAAAATAAATACCGAAAAGGGTTAATTTGGAAACGTTGCTACTAATTCACAACATCAGGTGAGGGGAGAACCATGCCAAATAAACCACAACAGATAGATCAACAAGATTAGCACTGAATGATCCCCAATCATTCATACAATAAATCACTCAATTCCAATCACCTTAGACCACTGGAAATGTAGTGGTCAAATTGGTAATTCAGGTTAAAATTCACTAAGATTTCCACATACGACATAGTTAAACTGAACACTGAAAAACAGAACGGTAAACTAAACATTCTTATACCACACTTCTTCCCTCTCTTACTCTCTGGTGTCTTAGAAGCTCAACGATTCTGTAGAAGTATTTCAGGCTATGCTATAAATATCAAACTACTCCTAAATATCAATAGCAAAAACCTCAGGGATTTTTAATTCTCTAGTAATTTTCTCTAGGGCAAAAGAGAGACATATTAACACAAAAATAATAAAACCTTATTTATACACAGATAAAACACAGTACACTTAACCCTCCCCACATCCAGAAAACAGATAGAGAAGATGCCCACTGATGGACACAATGCAGTTATAAATAATAAAGTTTCCGGACCTGAGTAGAGGGGACGGAGAAGGGTGTTCTGTTACTGACCCGTACATCTCCGCTGCAGATCGTTTCACACCTGCTTTTCCTCGGTTCACTTTTGGCTCTGCAGCCAGGTTAATATCTGAAAAACAAAAGCAAAAATTTTAGTGACAACTTTGTATCCAGGTAAAACAAACTACAAAGTTAATTTTTTTATTTTTGAGACATAATTTCGCTTTGTCGCCCAGGCTGGAGTGCAATGGTGCCATCTAGGCTCACGGAAACCTCCACTGCCTGGTTCAAGGGATTCTCCTGCCTCAGCCTCAAGAGTAACTATGACTACAAGCGGGCACCACCATGCCCAGGTAATACAAAGTTTAGAAAATCACAGACATAAAAATTAGAAAATATGAAACAAAACAACTCATCTTTCCTTTTTTTTTTTTAAATTTTATTTAAGAGAGGATCTCACTGTCATACAAGCTGGAGTGCAGTGATGCAATAATGGCTCAATACAGCCTAGACTTCCAAAGCTTGGGTGATCCTCCCATCCAAGTAGCAGGCACCACCAAGGCTGGCTAATTTTTCTGTTTTTCATAGGGACGAACTCTTGGGGTCAAGTGATCTGCCTTGACCTCCCAAAGTGCTGGAATTACAGGTGTGAGCTACCATGCTGAGCTTCATCTCTCCTTTTAATATTAAAAAGGCTCATAAATTTTTACAAGGCTAAGACTTCATCTTCTATATCTTTGTACTCTGTTCTGTACCACTAAAGTGTTCCTGAGACATAACATTAAGTCTGTCTTTGGTACTCTCCACCCTCAGATCCCACTTTAACTCAACTCTTCCCATTCAAGGCAATGACTGTTCACTCAGTTACTATTACAAGAGAAAACTATCAATGGTTACCTTTCCAAGAATGGTTCAGTTCATTCCGAATTATTACAAATATATTAAAATATACGCCAATCCACAAAACAATATAGTGCAGTGTGACACCCTCAAATCATCCTCAAAGGCAACTTCAGATTTCCCTTATAAGTAAGGATTAGCTGTACTGCATGTAAAACATCTAGGGTTAACAACTGCTTTCTGAATAATTCATAAGTTGCTTAAATAACCTTTACATATATCAAAAAAATAAAAGCAAAGGGAAACAACCCTAGTTTTCAAATACAATTTGTAACACGTAAGCCCAGCTACCTACCCTGCCACCCATGACCTTCCAAACAAGAATTCATCTTCTCCTTGTTCTAAAAACCCCATGTCAGAAAAAGCCAATTCAGTTTTTTAACTTCCCAGTCGTGCTAAAGCACTCAGTCAACAATACCTCCATTTTCATATATACTGCTTTAAAATTAGTCTCATTTTAATACACACATGCCCCAAAATATACAAATTCCATATATATATATTTTTAGACAGAGTCTTGCCCTGTTGCCCATGCTGGAGTGCAATCACGGCTCACTGTAACCTACGCCTCCCGGGTTCAAACAATTCTCCTGCCTCAACGGCTTGGACTACCGGCGCCCGCCACCACGGCCTGCTAATTTTTTGTATTCTTAGTAGAGACGGCTTTTCCCGGTGTTAGCCAGGATGGTCTCCATCTCTTGACCTCATGACCAGCCCAACTACGCCTCCCAAGATGCTGGGATTACAGGCATGAGCCACTGCACCTCGCCAAACGTGCATATCTTAAACTTAATCCTTTATATCTTACCTTTTTATACAAAAGGAGCTCATCAAATGAACAACTGAAAACCGCCTGAGGCCAGGTACAGGGGCTCACGCCTGTAATCCCAGCACTTTGGGAGGCAGAGGCGGGAGAATCACCTGAGGTCAAGAGGTGAAGACCAGCCCGGCCAACATGGTTAAACCTCGTATCTACCAAAAAATACAAAAATTAGCCAGGTGTGGTGGTGCACTCCTGTAGTACCAGCTACTCGGGAGGCTGAAACAGGACAATCGCTTCAACCTGGGAGGCTGAGGTTGCAATGAGTCAAGACTGCACCACTGCACTCAAGTCTAGGCGACAGAACTAGACTGTCTCAAAAAAAAAAAAAAAAAAAAAAAATTGAATATACTGTCTATTTGCTGAACACCATTACATGAATAACCTTCAGGTTTTGGTATGTTAACCTCATTTACAATTCTGACTTTGAAACCATATAGTGTTTTAAAACTAAAGATAGAATTTCTGAAAATGCAATCCAGTAAGATGTAAAAACAATGAAATAGACCCAAATTGTGTATCTGGTTGGTTACATAACATTATCAGAGAATTGTTTCATGTAACTCTAACCTATCATGCTATGAGTCAACAGACATAGTAGAATGTATACAAAGAATAAAACCACAAATATAAAATTGAAAATAATCATCTTAATTTTGTAAAAACACAGGTATGATTATTTTGAAACTGAGGCACAAAGTACACATAAAATGGGAAGTTAAAACAGACATCTAGTAGAACTAATCAAATAAACATGTGGACGCTGCATTCTGGCTTGAATAAACCAAATCGTAAGTAGTACTCTGAGGTGTCAATACATTTGAAAAGACAAGAAAATCTAAGACTGAGCCACACTGCAACTGGCCCAACAATGGAGCGAAACCCCAATGAGGAGACAAGCAGTCAACAACACTAGAGGGCTCCACCAGTCTGCTGTGAGGAGGATATAACCATTTAGGCAACATTTTAACACTGTGAAGTGTTATTCCCAGGTCGCCCTACTCACAATTGCCAAATGAGAGTTGTCCTGTCTCTACTACACAAAATGGTACAATGAAGAATATCTTTCACTTAGCCAATTATAACTATAAGCCTAATGTATTTTTATTAGACTGAATAGGCACAATATCCAGAATATCTCAGGCTGTCAGTTTTACAGACATAAAAAACAACAAAAACAAAAACAAAAAAACATGAATCGAAAAACTCAGGCCTGATCATCAATGAAAAAATTAACTTAATGGAGACCTTACCTAAAACCTGGCCAGCAATCATTCTGCCATCCTCTCCTGCTACAGCAGCCCGGGCATTTCTCTCATTAACATATTGAACGAAGGCAAAGCCCTTATGAACAGAGCAGCCCACAATTTTGCCATACTTCGAAAAGATTGCCTCCACATCAGATTTCTTGACCACAAGAGTGTTGAGATTCCCAATGAACACACGGGAGTTCATGGAGCGAGGATCTGTCTTGTTGGTAACGTTGCTGGCCATTGTGTTTGATGATAAGGTTTCTCACAAAGCTGAAAACTGTAAAGCAAAAAAAAGTATTCAGGTGAACAGATGCTAAAAACAATTTGCCTTGATAAAACATTCTCCACTCTCACTCTGAATCACTGTTAACTGCCCAGAGTATCAGGCAACTTAAAGGGACTCACAGCATTATGTATTTACTAATAAATTCAGAGACTCCAGCCTCTGAATATGTTCTAGAAATTCAACTTCTTCCTCTTCATTCTATTTCAGCGGCACTAAACTCTAAATTATCAGGAAAAAAAAAATTTTCCCTGGCAGGTCATTGGCAATATAATTTCCTTGGACATAATTCCAAGTGGCCCTCCTCTAATAACTCAAGCAAATTAGAACTGCCTAAATTCTCTGACACCAGTTTCTGCTGTTTTTCACATTACAGGTCATGCTAACTATTCCCTGCCATCAATAATCTTGATTCACGCTGCTTTTATTGAGTTTTACCGGTTCTGTATATATACACACAGCATAGCAAATGTCAACTTCTGTCCCAAGCCATTCATTAGCTAGATTAATATGGATAGCTTACACTTACCCATTAAGTATAATTTTCTTCAAAAGGCAATAAACAGAATCAATTCATTTATACTGGAAACGCCTATTTCCAGATACTTCAATTAATTGCAGGATGCTTTAGATACGTAAGTACCAATACCATTTTTTTACAGACTGTAATGACTCCAAGGCTACTTTTTATATAACCTAAAATATAGGACATTTAATAATATCGGATGGTGATGATGATAAAACTAGCCAGTGGAACATGGCATGAATCAAATTAAGGATCGGGGAACTGAAGAAAAATACACAACTTTCCACAAATTATTTAAAACCAAAAATTATCTGTCTTTACATATGTGATGGAGGCTCAATACTATCATAACAATATGAAGATTCACAATACCATCTCAGGTCCTGTATAAGTGAAAATGTTTTATTTCATTCGTTCAGCATTGTTTCCTGCCTCTTCCCACTCCAACCCCCTATCTTGAACAAGACTTAAAAACATTAAGATTTCCCCTTCATCCCTTTGAAAGGTTCCGATGAATCTCAAAATATTCCAGTATTTGTTATCCTTCCAATCCTCAAGTGAATCAGACAAACTAGTTCTTATGGATGATGTAAAAATGTCTAATGTATACATACATGTACATAAAAACAGGTAGTATAACACCATTTCATTTATACATAACTCCTACCATTCTGACGCTTAATACAGTCATTTAACAGGCGGTACTGATTTAAAAGCTCCAACAAAACTTCACTTCCTTCCAAATCTTTCTGAAATTCGTCTGTCTTTATGTTACTTTCTAAAGTATATGTTTACAAAAAGTTCTTAATATTTTAAGACTAAGCAATAAAAATTAACAAACAGTAGCCACTGAAATTCATCAACAATCTTTCAGCTCTTAAGTATGCCAGAAAATCTGAGGACACTAAAAAGAGGAATTAAAACAAAAATCTGCATTAAGGCCTAACTGGTTTCAGATACTACTGCTGGTTTACAATATTTGCTATTACTACAAGTGGAGAAACAATCTGGTTTTAAGCAACTATTTTTCACAAACAATAGGTACACCAACAGGAAATATAATCTCCATAGTTTTAATGAGAAGAAATTACCAGGGGTGAGGGGCTCCATAAGCCACCACAGAACACTGAACATAAGGGAAAAAACCCATCACACCACAGTCCAATGTTCCAAATGGACATTTGCAAAAAAACATCGATGTGACTGAAAGGGGTACCCTCTGGCACCACAGACAAAAATGGATCTAAATGACCATTTTCTCAATTTTCACAAATCTGAGTACATACCTAGAACTAATCAAGATGTATGGAATTCATACCCCACGGCATTTTTCACGTGTATCAGGGCTTAATTCTCTCAAAGATCCACACAGGAAAAGCTCGGTAGAAAAGCATCCAGGCATACAAGTAAAAGGATTCTAGCAATGCTTGTTATCTCTGAGTTTAAGGATATGATTTCTCATTTTGTTTATGGTCTGGTTATTCAATCTGCTACAAAAATGATGAACTACTTATTTTTAAAAATATAACAATCCCAACTTTCAAAGGTTGCCTAAAATTAATGCCCATACTTACTATGAGGATTTAAATTCAAGATGGAGGCAACAGTAAAGACAGATGTACTCACAAATACCAATTAATTCCACTCTTAGTAACATATCCTCCTAAGGAATGAACAGTCACTACAAGCTCATTTGTTTTGGGGGTCAAATATTTACTAACCACGTGCTGAGTACCACATTCCGGGAAAATCCAGGCGACAAATAACAACAAAGACTGTCCTGGGGGCTTCCTTAAATTTTAGTGGTAGCGCTATGTCCAATTTTATGGAAGAGGTAGATTTCCCGAAGTTTTAGAAATAACCAAATGATGTCCAGTCACGCTTCATCCCACCTCAAAATTTTAAGGTACCATACAGGTGAAATTTCCATAAAGGGAGGAGGATAGCCAATACTGAAACACAAAGAAACTATTGGAAAAGAACTGGGATTCTTGGAAAGGGGCAGCAAGAGCAGAGCTGTTTTTGAATCTGACTCCCAACAGAAGACTCAAGATGGCAAAATCACTATCCTACAGACAGCATTTACAACAAAATTCCAAAATTCAAGGCAGTAAAGGCAAGCCAGCTTATATGGTTTCACTGATTGTAGGAGTACTGGAAAAGAACTGGGATTCTTGGAAAGGGGCAGCAGAGCAGAGCAGTTTTTGAATCTGACTCCCAACAGAAGACTCAAGATGGCAAAATCACTACCCTACAGACAGCATTTATGGTTTCACTGACTGGGAGAAATAAAAAATATCCTACAGCCAGCATATATGGTTTCACTGACTGGGAGAAATAAAAAATAAGCAACTTGGAGAATAAAAGACTCAGAAATACAAAACCAAAATAACCAGCAGGTATTTACTGAAAAGCAAGAAATTTTAGAAAAGCAGTTAAAACTTGTAAGTTTTACCTGCTCCAATAGTGGGTGAGCACAAGGAACTTCAATAAAAATGTGTGAAGGTGCAAGAGCAGTTGCGTCCCTGTAAAGCCTCATAACTAAACAAACCCTGCGTGGCCAATTCCACTGCCAATCCCTCTTCCTTTCACCAAAAGGTAACAATCATTCTGACTTTACTAGTACTTTCTTACTTGTAAAATAATTCTAATGCCTAAATGTGTAACTGCAGACATTCTTGTCTTCCCAAAAAAATAAATGTGATGCATTTAAGGCATTTTTGTAGTTAAGTCCCACTTCTATTGCATTAGGTTAAAATTTATCTGTTTAAGAATCCAAGGTATTGACCTGTTGTTTCCCAGTCTGTATTTTCCAGAATTGATACTCTTGGTACAATTCCACATATTCTTAATTCCTGAAAGTGGCAGCTGGGACCGAAGGCTTATTCAGCCTCATCTGCAATATTCTGGCAAGACTACATTGCCCTATAAGTGGCAATACCTTTTTGTGTTGTCATTGATGCTTAAACAATACCATTTCTCTCTAGGTGGTATGGTTTCTCGAGCACCACATGTTATGCAGACTGCTGTTAGAAATCCTAAGAACAGTCCCTCAGTTCTTTCATGTAACAGGTTGCCAGCATCCTTTTATAGTAGTACAATATAGTAGAATGTACCTGTATATACTGAAATATTTTGAGGTCAATGCCCATTATTATCTTATTCCCCCCTTCTTCTAGTTGAAGGGGTCTAAAATTTTTTTTTTATAATGCAAGCTAACCCAGGGATCCTTCTCTATCACCATCTACTCGTGTGTAACAGTCGAATAATGCTGTTAAATAATAAAGTGACATTAATTTACATGAACTAGATTTAACATTAAGAAATCTGGGGCCAGGCGCGGTGGCTCACGCCTGTAATCCCAGCACTTTGGGAGGCCGAGGCGGGCGGATCACGAGGTCAGGAGATCGAGACCATCCTGGCTAACACCATGAAACCCCGTCTCTACTAAAAATACAAAAAAATTAGCCGGGCGTGGTGGCGGGCGCCTGTAGTCCCAGCTACTCAGGAGGCTGAGGCAGGAGAATGGCGTGAACGCGGGAGGCGGAGCTTGCAGTGAGCCGGGATTGCGCCACTGCACTCCAGCCTGGGGGACAGAGCGAGACTCCGTCTCGAAAAAGAAAAAAGAAAAAAAGAAAAAAAGAAATCTGGGCCTGGGTTCAGTGGTTCAGGCCTGTAATCCCAGCACTTCGGGAGGGCAAGGCGTGTGGCTCATGAGGTCAAGAGATCAAGACCATCCTGGCCAACGTGGTGAAATCCTGACTCTACTAAAAATACAAAAATTAGCCAGGCGTGGTGGCACATGCCTGTAGTCCAAGCTACTCGGGAGGCTGAAGCAGGAAAACCACTTGAACCCGGGAGGTGGAGGTACCATTGAGTCAAGATTGCACCACTGTACTCCAGCCTGGGCGACAGAGGGAAACTTCATCTCAAAAAACCTGAAATCTTGATGGAGACTAGCATGTCCAATTCATGAATTTACAGTTCACATATTCCAAGCCGGGTGAGGTGGCTCATACCAGTAATCCCAGCACTTTGGGATACAGGCAGTTCATGTGAGGTCAGGAATTCAAGGTCACTCTGGCCAACATGGTGAAACTAAAAATACAAAATTCAGCTACACGTCGTGGCCTACACCTGTAGTCCCAGCTACTTGGGAGGCTGAGACAGGAGAACTGCTTGAACACGGGAGGCAGAGGTTGCAGTGAGCCGAGATCGCGCTAGTGCACTCCAGCCTAGGCAACAGAGGGAGACTCTGTCTCAAAAACAAACAAACATACAGTTCAAATATTCCAGCTTCCATTATTTGTAAATCAGAAGGTTAAATACTTCAAAAGTGAAGTCTAGTCACATTCCGGCCAGGCACTTTGGGAGGCCGAGGGGGGCGGATCATGAGGTCAGAACGACACTATCCTGGCTAACATGGTGAAACCCCGTCTCTACTAAAAATATGAAAATTAGCAGGGCA